GGCACCCTCCAAGAGCTGGCACTCTCCGGCCTCCCAGCTCTGAAGGCAGAGCTGAAGTAAGGGTGGCAATACCATGACCCCCCTACAACTCTCTTTTGGGTCAGGACCCCCAGTTTGAGAAACGCTGGGCTCCCTCCGTGAAATCTGTATAGTATAGGGTAAAAACACACAAAAGACCAGATTTCATGTGGGGAGGCCAGATTTCATGGGCCGTGACATGTTTGTCATGGCTGTGAATAAGAGCCAGGGGTCACCCAATGAAATTAATGGGCAGCAGTTTTAAAACAAATATAGGGAAGTACTTTTTCACACACAACACACAGTCAACCTACGTAGCTCATTGCCAGGGGATGATGTGAAGGCCAAAAGTATAAGTGGGTTGAAAAACGAATTAGATAAGTTCATAGAGGATAGGTCCATCAATCACTATTAGCCAAGATGGTCAGGGACACAACCCCATGCCCCATGTGTCCCTAAACCTCTGACTGCCAGAAGCTGGGACTGGATGACAGGAGATGGATCACTCAATAAATTGTCCTGTTCTGTTCATTCCCTCTGAAGCATCTGACACTGGCCACTGTTAGAATACAGGGTAATGAGCTAGATGGACCATTGGTCTGACCCAGTATGGCTATTCTTATGTCTTAGATGAACCACTGGTGTGATGCAGTATGGCAATTTTTATTTCCCTACTATCTATGCAATAATGTGGGCAAGTAGAAAACATAGCAGGGACTCTCTCCTGAGGTAGAATGTACCAGAGCAACAGGAAATGGATACTTGGGGTGAAGCAGTGGTTTGATAGGAATTTTCTGCCATAGTATAATATCAGAATTGTGGTTTTAAGCTAAAAAGCAGTCATAGGGACATGACTATGCTAGTTCTGATCTGTACCATATTCTTTTAATATCATCTAGAACAGTTATAGATACAACTGCCGCCAAGCATTTATCACTAACATTACTGTTTAATGTTTATTCCATTGGTTCATAATTCATGCTCAGCATCATCATTTCAGGATCGATGTTTCATAATGGTGTGTGGGGGTGTCAATAATTCTTTTCCTTCTTTGTATTTTTGTACATGTCTCCTAACAACCGGGGCGCCCTAAGCACTTCCTTGTAAACTTTTTTCTGTGAGACATTTCTGTCCTTTCGTTATACCTCAAGCATGATGATTAGGGTGTGTTGTGGTTTTTTGGGGGGTGGGGTTAAAGTGTGGAGAGTGTGCTGCTATTGCTAGTCATTGTGAAGGTTTTGCTAGCAGAATCTGGATGAGTTTCTTGGTCCCAGGTACTACACTGAAAATCATGATAAATCAGGCCTGGTCTGCATACATGAAAAGACTGAGAGTCCTTTCGGGAGACCATTGGGGAATGCAGTGACAAGGATGGGGAATCAAGAGAGCCTTACTGCCCCCAACTTCCTAGCCAGCACAGTTCAATCATCACAGGGAGTGAAGTAATCTGCTGCTGATCGAGGATGCTATAGTATTATATCCCCAGTAGTAAGGGGGAAACCAGCTGGGTGATATAGTTGCATGCTGCCCCTTACACAGAATAAGATGGAAAGCCTTGATGTTGTCCTAAATTTGATTAATTTGGGCCTGGTTTGACTCTGTGATGTATTTATGATCCTGTCTGAGTTTTTCCAAACATATTTTTGGTATTCAAAACTATTCCTGTATTCACCTGTGACATCCATCTGTGGAGCATTTCCAACAGAGCCAATGTTGTTATTAGGTATTTAAATTCAGATGGTTTAGTTTCTGTTCCCTAACTGGATGACTAAAGATTTATAAAGAGTATTGATGAGTCAAAGACACATGCCCAGTGGTGAATGCAGGTAGTGGCCAAATCATCCACACTCCAAAGTTTTGTGTCTTGGCAAATCCTAAACAACACAAATGCAGTTGGATTGACTGGCAGCCTTAGTATTCAGAATTTTTTGTGTGTGACTATGTCCTTTTGGAATTCAACCATCTCTAATATGGTTTGTATGCAAAATAAAAAACAAAAAACTCAGCTGTCTTTTCACTATTCCTCTATTCCTCCATCTCCCCCACTCAATCTACCACTCCTTTCTTTGGCAGATATTCAGTTTTTTCGCCTATGCTTTAAAATATTTCTTCTTTTCCCTCCTCCTTTTTTAATTTGGTCTCATCCAGAGGTGCCGACTTCCTGAATTCCCGGAGGGTGCTTGACCCCCACTCTGCCCCAGGTCTGCTCCCACTCCACCCCTTCCCCCAAACCCCTGCCTATGCCCCACCTCTTTCCACCCCCACCCTGCCCCTGCCCACCCCATTCCAACCCCTCCCCACCTCTTCCTGTCCCTGCTCCACCCCCTCCTCTCCAGCATCTCCTCACATCACTGAACAGCTGGTCACAGTGGGCAGGAAACACTGGGAGGGATGGGAAGGAGTTGATCCGCGGGGCATGCCGGCGAGCAGGAGGGCTGGAGGAGGAAGGAAAGGAGCTGATCTGTGGGGCTGCCCATGGGCGCTGAACACCCACTATTATTTTCCATGGGTGCTCCAGCCCCGGAGCACCCACGGAGTCGGTGCCTATAGTCTCAGATTCATTCTTTTCTACTTTTGATTACCTGTCCCATGTGAAGCCTCCTGTTCATGACCTCTCCAACTTTTAGTTTTGTCCACCTTCTGTCCATCATATTCCCTCTTCTTTTCAGTGATTACAATGGCTATTTCTACCCCTCCTGCTGTTTGTAAAAGCCCTTTAGAAGTCTCCTTTCCCTTTGAAGTATAGAGTATCAGAAAACAGGGAATCCATTATTCCACTGTGCTGGCCATTTCTCACAGACCTGATTTATACAGCAGAAAATGATAGAATTGTGTACTTGTGCCTTTGAATAACATTCATTTAGTTCAGAATTTTGCCTTGGAAGACAGTCACTGCAAATCTGAAAAAGTTTCAATGTGATTTCTATAAAGGTAGATTTCTGACTGTGGTGTGGTGTTCATGAGTTCTTAGATTAAAAGGCCAGAAGAGACCACTGTGATAATCTGGTCTGATGTGTACAATACACGCCATAGGATTTGCCTGACTTAATTTCTGTTTGAACTAGATCATATCTTTTAGAAAAATACCCAGTCTTGATTTAAAGATTTCCAGTGATTCCCAGGGATGAAGAATCCATCATAACCCTTGGTAAATTGTTCCAGTGGTTAATTACCCTCCCTTTAAAATCTGTGCCTCATTTCTAGTCTGAATATGTCTAGCTTCAGTTTCCAGCCATTGGATCTTGTTATACCTTTGTCTACTAGATTAAATACCTAATATTATCAAATGTTTGTTTCCCACATAAGTACTTATAGAATGTGATCAAATTACCCCTTAACTTCTTTAATAAACTAATTAGATTGTGTGCCTGCTGTCCTTCTCTTTATGGTGCTTTCCAATCCTTTAGTTATTCACGAGGTTCTTCTCTGAACCCACTCCAATTTACTAACATCCTTCTTGAATAATGGACCCCAGAACTGGACAGAGCATTCCAGTAGCAGTTTTATGAGTGCTAAATACAGAGGTAATATAACCTCCCTACTCCTACTCAAGATTCCACTGTTTATATATATGAGCATCACAATAGGTCTTTTGGCTGAAGTCTCACACTGGTCACTCATAGTCAGCTGATCATCCACCACGTTCCTGTTGTTTAAAATGGAAGGGCCTGAATTTGATCTGTGCATTAATACTTTTCTAAATACTGTTATTACATTTTCAGATATATCTACAATACTAAGAGTTACAGTTTGAAGGCTGCACTTATGTCAAGGTTATGGAGGGCTGTGGTGTATGTGTGTGAGGGAAAGGATGTAAGGAAACATGTTGACACCGTGGGGCAAGAGCCAGCCACAATTAGGACTGACACTGCCTCTAGTCTCTACAGAGCAGGGGAGGAGGAGCAAGATTTCTCCCCTCCCCCAGCAACAAAGCTATAGCCCTCTTCAGGAAAGTTTCAACTACTTTTAAGGGAGGGTGAGATTTTTCAGGACTCTTTTAGGTACAACTGGCTTAAACCCTTGTGAGATGTCTAAAGAACTGTGCTGACAGGATGGGAAAGGGCCAAAATTGATTTTGACTGCTACCTCTGAAATCTAGAACAGCTGCTCAATTATTTAAGATTACCAGAGGAATGATACCTTTCGTATTGGTGAAACTGGCCACAAGATGTCACCATTGTTCCATGAAAATACACTTGTGAGTGCATTTTGTGTGGCAGTAAATAAGGTAGTCTTCAAAGAAAGAAGTTCAGAGAGGTCAGTTTGGGAAGTGATCTCTAATGATTTCCTGTCTGTTTGGTCCCTGAAACATGTTCAGATAGAATCCCTGCAGGCACCATAGCTATGCAAGTAATGTGTCTCTTCATCTTTCTCCTTGAACTGTATTATCACACCAGTCTACAGATGCTTTCAAATCAGTCTTCCTTTATAATACAGCAAATATACAGTATCAGCATCTAATGGCTTTGCATTGATTTACCTTAGAAACCATTCAGTGACCACATTTTACATTTGTAAAATGGAGACAAACAATGAGTTTTGGGATGGATTGTTCTGAGGCTTAGATTTTCCTCTCTCTGCTAGATTAACCTTTCAGATCAATACTTCTGGGCAACAACCTTAACAGAGGTCAAGTGCTTTTATAGCTACACAGTTCTTTCAGGTGGCTCGGAGAGGAGCGCTTAAATCAGAAAAGACCTTACCAGGCAATCTTTCTTGGACTATAGAAAGCTGCTGGATAGCCCCATTTGCCAAAAGATTTCCTGATTTCTACAAGTGAACTCATCAGCCCACGCTTTTCTCAGTCCTCAGAGGAACTCTAATTTCCTCTGGGGTGGCCTCTGTATTCTACCCATTGCAAGTGAGGGGTTGTGTGCTTTATTTATTTATTTATTTATTTTTTAACATTTCAAATGCTTGACAGCTGGGTGAACTTTTCCTTCCGCCCAGAGAAGGACTTTTTAGAGTTCATAATGGACTGCCAGTGCTGCCAAGGCTATTTTCTCTCCAGCTGTGAGAGTGGCTTTTTAAAATGACTCACAAAAGCTGCTAGCCAGCTGCTTCACCTCAGCCTTCACAAGGGCTCTGCATTCTAAACAGCGGTAGGGCTGACTTACTTCAGAAGGGCTCGTTTATTTGGACGTTGCAGATGTATTCTGCACACAACCGACGATCCTAAAGAGACCTCCGTTCAGGCAGGTGAGTCATGGGCTTACATCACTGCAGGTGTTGACTTAGTGTTAATGCTGTGAAAAGGAAACATCCCGTGTGTTAGTCAGTCATCATTGGACCCCCTCCAGGAAGCACACAAAGCAATGTATGCATGCTATGCTAATTTGAAACTACTGTATGTGCTGTATGTCTTAAGATAGCTTTAAAAATCAGTGTCATAAACATCATTTTTCAGTATGTCCGAACTCTGCAAATACTAAATCTAAGCGAGTAAATATGATGCACATGGTCACAAATCAAATAATAGAATGATAGTGATTAGAGATTGGCGAGACATAGTCTACTCTAGGCCAGCTCAAGAGTATTCCCTGCAGCATATTTTCATAGGAGCTGAGGAAGATAAAAATTCTGATCATTTGTCCAGGGTCATCAAAGACTCTCAAATTTGGTATCTGACAAAGAAAATGTGGTTTTAAAGTTTTGGTGGTGGCTTCATTCTTTCAAGTAAATTAAAATGAAATATTGCTTCTGATTAGATATATTTCTCTGCAGCTTGTGTGTTCTGTTTTCTCTTATTGTGCCAGAGTTCCTTTTTGTTCATTTTTTTTTAAACATGTCTTATTCTTATTTGATTTTACATATTTTGGTTTTGTCCTCGCTTTAAAATAAATTAAAACACCACTGCCACAGCTAATAAGACTTTCAGTCAGAACTTGAGTCAAATTCAAATAACAACTTCATTACTCAGTCAAATAGTGTTGGCCACTGAGTTTGAAATCTTGATCGGATCACTCAGAAGGTCACCAGACTACTCCTCCATTAGTGCTGCCTGCCACTGAGTGCTCATTGGACTGGGTCCATGAAGGTTTTGTTCTGTTTCTTCTCCAGGCCAGCAGAGAGTAGTCTGAGACTGAAAAGCCTCTGCACTTCGGCCATTCAGTCAAAGCTGCATCAAGTACTTGTGTGTGCTTTGCTGCATGTCTGTACATGGGCCTGTTGACATTATGATTGTTGTCTAAACAGCTTTCTACTAGAGTTCAAAATCTTTTAACCAACACTTTTGACCAAAAAATGGCTGTTTGACCAACATGAACATTTCCACAGTTTCTGATGTTCAATAAAATTGTTTTAAAAAACAAAATGCTTTTACTGAAAACCAGGTTTTTTAAAGTGAAAACTGTTTAGTTTTGTGGTTTTCATTGAAAAACTGAAAAATATATCCAGGAAATGTTGGAAAAAAATTAAAAGAAATACATTTCCCTGTAAAAGGTCATTGGTATTTTTCAAACTGCTTTACTGTTTACCACTGATGTAACTACTGGGCAGTGAAAGCTTTATTTCATTTTTAGTAATAATTTACACTACAGTAGCCCTAGAGAACCCAACCAAGATTAGGCCCCCATAGTGCCAGGTGCTGTACAAACACATAACAAGAAAGAATCCCTGCCCTGAAGAGCATATGATCTAAATAGAAAAGACAGATAAAAGTTGGGAGAAATGAAATATTATTATCCCACCTGTAACAGTGGGAACCAAGGCACAGAGAATTATAGTAACATATCCAAGGTCACACAGCAGCTCAGGAGTAGAATAGAGAATAGAACCCACATCTCCTGAGTCTCAGGCTAGTGCCTGGAGCACAGTGCCTTTCAAGAGCAATATATCTTGAAAGGCTGTGTGCTGGCTGGTTGGAAGTTTTGTTACAAATAAACTGGCATTGTCACTGGTAAAGGATTTTTTGGAAAACAAGTGTAAATGCACTATCCTTTTCCTTCTTTATCAATAAGTGTATAAACTGTTCAGTCCCTTTTCTTCCACCTATTCCTGAAGAAGCTCATTTCTATTTGGTAAATATGGAGTTAAGAAACCTCAAACTACTTTGGCTCACATCAATCTTGGCCCTAATCCGCAGTCTGATCAGTGCAGAAGAATCCCTGCACCTGTGCAGAATCCCCCTGAAGTCAACAAGGCTCAGCACAAGTGCCAGGGTCTGTCCACATGTATCTGATTGGGCCTCATTTGGGATTTTAAACAATGCCCAAAATGTGCTTAAGATTCACCAAAACATTTGCCTTACTAACACAAGGTATGGGCTCAATGAACAATACTAGGAATGATGATTAAGGTTGTGAGCTTGTCAAGGAGGTCACGGAAGTCACGGATTCCATGACTTTCTGTGACTTCTGCAGTGGCTGGTGCGCCTGGCTCAGGGGCAGCTCGAGCAGCCCCTGCTCCAGTCGCATCTGCCACTGCTGGGGCAGTCTCAGGCCACCGTGCCCCCCCAACATCCCCCTCTCTCAGCTGCTTGGCAGAGGCATGGCCAGGCAGCTCTGCCTGCAGGCACCACCTCCGCAGCTCCCATTGGCCACAGATTCTGGCCAATGGCAGCTGCAAAGCCAGCACTCTAGGTGGAGGCAACGCGCAGAGCTGCCTGACCACGCCTCTGCCTAACAGCTGAGTGAGGGGGATGTCGCCTCTTCCGGGGAGCCCCCCCAGGTAAGCGCCGCCCAGAGCCCGCCTCACCCCATCCTGTGCCCCAACCCCTGTCCCCTCCCACTCCCAAACTCTGCTGCTGCTGTGGGGGAGGTGCAGAGCCAGGTAGGGAGCCTGCCGGGCCCGCCAACCCCCTGCCCCCAGCACCAGCAGGGTTCCTGGGCCAAGGGCCGCCGCCCGCCCCTTCTCTCTCCAGCACCTGGGCCACCCTCCCGCAGCACGCACGGTGCCCCCAGGCAGCGCCCCGCCCCCAGGTTTAGTCAAGGGTATATAGTAAAAGTCATGGACAAGTCATGGGCCATGAATTTTTGTTTACTGCCTGTGATCTGTCCGTGACTTTTACTAAAAATACCTGTGACTAAATCATAGCCTTAATGATGATCAATTTATTTGCCCTCTGTTTAGAACAATAAAATTGCCCACATGCAGGCTAAATGCCCTGCTAATTTTTTTTACAGTTACAAATGAAATATACACTTCAGTAATTTCACCTTCTTACAAGCAGCAGCTCTAAATGCAAATACTAACACCCTGATACATTGGCTGGTACTTCAAACCAGGTCTGCCCACAGACCTGGGTGAAACAAATAAATCCTGCAGCGTCCTGAGAATTGACAAATTCAGGCTATTTTGAACCAGAAGTGCTTTTCAGTCCCAGGGCTCCAATGGAGAATGAACTGCCAGCACCCCCTCTCAGTCATATCAAGAGGGATCTCGCATCACTGTCTGCACTGTGGCAGCATATCATGGGGAAAAAGGTGTTGTCTCAGGCAGAAGGGTCCCAGAGCAGTTACTGCTTTCTATGTCAAAATCAGCCACTTAAAATCTATCTGGAGGTTCTCAGGTAAGTAGTGAAGGTGCCAGAGCACTGGTATCGTGTGCTCACTGTAGGACACACAACTTATCAAGTGAGCAGCCGCCATTTGCACAAGTGCCAGCCTCTAAATCAGGGTACGATGCCACTCCCCTAAAACATTTAGACACCTTTCATACAATGTTAAATCGAAGGCGTTAGCAGCATGAGCTGCTGGCAGAAACAGCAGCATTCTGAAGCCATGTCTGTCCACATTTTGCCATTCTATACCATAGCTTAAATAATATAGTTTTCTTTTCCCAAAACAACTTATGAAAAAGCATTTTGCCAACCTCAAAAAAAAGAGAGACTTATAACTTAAATAACTGTACAATATGAAGTTTTGTACCCATTCCATGAATCTCTGTCAAAGTGCTTCAAATTACAGTTTATTTGTCAAGGATAAACAGATGTTGTTGTCCTATACAGTATATCATGCTCTCCAACCTCGCTTAAGTCCCCAAAGAAACCAGTTAGGTGCCAATTGAGCTTAGGTATCAAAGATATTGCTACACTGGGAACATACTATTTTTTTAATTTGTTGATCTTACACAGGCTTTTCTGCTTTCATTCTTGAGTATATCGTTTCTTTTTTTCCAAAAGGAAACAAACAGCAGCCTACACTAATGTCTAGAAGATCATTTTTAAGACACGTAACTCCCACTGACATGTAAATGAGTGATTTTCATTTGTCTGGTGCAACATATACAAAAGTGATTGATTAAAAGAATGTGATTCCTAAATGTTTTCTACAACCCCAGTTGTTCAGCACTCCAAACATATGGATAATATCAAGGACAAACACTAGAAAGTATGTATATATTTTCGCCAATACAATGATTACATTAGATACCACAAGAGACTTCCTACTGGCATGTTGGTTAGAACTCATCTAAAGCCAATAAAATGGAATGGATCAATGGATATTTCATTATAGAAAACTCAGCTGCAAGATAACAGAATGGACTGCATTTAGCCCTGCATCTCACAAATGTCTGATGCTGAAAGCGGAAAGCTGTGCCTTTTTGGTTATGTTGCTTATTTATTTTGTAGGAGCCTAATTGCCTTTTAGAATGTAGTAAATATTGGAGGTTTAATCATTTATTTTTGTCATGTTTTTTTTTCCCTGAAGAAACTTGGCACGTAGTATTTAATGTGACCTACTAAGGCAAAAAAAGCTCTCTGTGTGGTTTTGCTGAACACCCACACACAAACACCTTCTGTAGAATTTACAATAATAAGTCATTCTGGTTACAGGAGTAATGATTTTTTCAAAACAAACTTTAAAAACCTGTAATACTTATACATTAAGCTCTTTCTTGAAAACATGGTTTCAGTTTTGTTTTGTTTTATAGCGTTATTTACACTTGCATAGCAAACTTCATCAAATAGCTGAGGAATCATTGCTGAAGAGAGATGTTTCTAGTAGGACTCCGCAGGGATCAGTACTAGGCCCAACACTGTTCAACATTTTTGTCAATGGCCTGGAAGTAAAGTATAGCATTACTGTTAACACAAGGATTGACAGAGTGGTAAATAGTGAGGACAGGGCAGCCACACAGAGCAATCTGGACTGCTTGGTAACCTGGGCTCATTCTAACAAAATGCATTTTAAGACTGCCAAATGCAAAGTTATGCAGACTATAGCTACAGAAAAGGGGCCTCTCCTGGAAAGCAGTGA